CAAGCATTTTACAATTGTGGGTGTACTTACCTTTCATCTGTCATGAACTGAATTATATTATAAGTTTCATAATAGTGTCGAGAACCCAACTCTTGTGATGCTGTAATGAACCTTCAGGTTCCATAAAATACGGGGAATTTCTTAACAAGTTGAGCAATTGCTAGCTTCTCGAGTAGGACTCTGCTATTGCATTATTATAACAGTTGAACATCCGAACTGATTAAAACACTGATGTGTTCGGACTTTCGAATCTTTCGGGTTACTGGATATAAATTTAAAAAATACTATTTTTGGAAAAATATTTACTTCAAAGGATTTGGAGGTACACTTTACATATAAAAAATGGCCGCGCCATAGCTCAAGCGGTTAGTCGCTGGCCTCCCACCGCGACGGCCCGGGTTCGATCTCGGGTCTGGTCAAGTGGGATTTGTGGTGGACAAAGCGGCGCAGGGACGGGTTTTCTCAGAGTACTTCGGTTTTCCCTGCAAATCTTCATTCCACCAAATTCTCCAACATCATAATCAGCCGGGGCAGGCTACAGTAAGCTAATCAGTGGCCGCCGTGCCGAGTGGACCCAGTTGGACTCCACCCCCCCCCACTATAAAAAACATATAAACAATGATCGTAACTCGCGAAAATTCGACTACACGCCGCGCTCGGGGAAACGGTGACCAGGTTACATGTTTCAGCATCTAGAAAGCAGTTTCATTAACAAATGACATCATGTTTCACAAGAATTAATTTAAGTAAAATAATTAGATTAATTTTGTAATTTTTGGAGTTGCCAATTTCGTTTGTGGCACTTTAAGTCGGCATATATTACTGAGGTTTCTAATTACGGATGTTCCACTGTAGCGTGTTACTTAATTGTTTAATTTCATTCTGTTAAACCGTGAATTATTTCATAGCACGTGGACTGCTTACGGTGATACATAGAAGACTGTTTGCACTGAGGTAATACTGAATTAATTTTGTTTCAGAAAATGAAAGCAATGTTACTGCGCACACCCGGAATGTGGCTACAATTGATGACGATTCGTTGCATCTGTACTGTGCCATTTTATAAACATAATTCGCAATTAAACGAATAAGACTGAACCTTCAGTGACATTAACATGCACAGGTTTCCAGTACACGGTCAGTCAGTGTGTGAAGCATTTAAACCTGTCCTTAAATATTAAACTTTCCTTCCTCGCCCGAGTTTTGTCTCAATGCAGAATGAGCAGCGTCGGGGACAAGCTGATCGCGACAGAAAGGATACTGTTTCGACTCCTCTGTTACGATCGGTCTCAGGAGGGAGGTACATGGTTGTGTGGTTATTCATAAACCTCCCTATTTTAGGTCTTTGTCCATTCATCCGTACTTTTTGTTTTCTCTCTTTCACACACACACACTCTCTCTATGTATATGTTATACACGTATGTATTGGTTAGTAATATTTATCCATCCATCCAACCATCCATCCATCCACCCATCCATCCATCCACCCATCCATCCACCCACCCAACCACTCACCTATCTATCTATCTTTCCATCTGTTTGTCTGTGCCTCTACAGCCCTTTGTTGGGCCTTGGCCTCTTTTTCAGTTTCTGCTACCAACTGCTATACACAGTCGGTAGGACTCCTTGAACGGGGGATCAGCCCATCGCAAGGTCTCTACCTACACACAGAACAGCACAAACACAGAATAAAAACACACAGAAATTCATGCCTTGTGTGGGATTATCTCAGCGATTTAGCGGACAAAACCAGTTCATGTTTAGACTGCCCGGTCACTGTGATTGGCTAATTTGGAATCTTCCAGACTTACACCCCGAGGTTTACAAGAAACCCACGGAACTTCCTAGCCAAGAGAGGCTCTCTCGTGGCCGATATCTGAGCACTAAGATCTCCTGAATGCAGAGCAGTAATGTTACGCACTTAGTGGCGATGTCCNGAGGAGGCAACTGGTCTCTCGACCGGTTTACATTGAAGTCTGTGTAAAATTATGTAGTTTTATATTGTATTATTGTATTCGTCAAGTAAACACAAAAGCATTAAACACTTTAAACTAATTTCGCAATTTAGGTTCTTCATTCAGCAGCTGATATTTACTCAGCCGGTATCGAAGTCCTCTACTTTCCAGCAGCAGGAACTAGCCTACAAGTTGCCAAGGAAATGTTCTTGGATTCAGTGACTGTAAACCATAGGGCCGCGCCATAGCTGAAGCGGTTACTCGCTGGCTTCCCACCGCGGCGGACCGGGTTCGATCCCGGGTCTGGTCAAGTGGGATTTGTGGTGGACAAGTAGCCCTGGGGCGGGTTTTCTCCGAGCACTTCGGTTTCCCCTGCCAATCTTCGATCCACCAAATTCTCCATCGTCATAATCACCTGGGGCAGGTACAATAGGCCAATCAGTGGCCGCCGTGCCGAGTGGACCCAGTTGGACTCCATCCCCCCCCCACTAAGCGAATTTAAAAAAAAACTGTAAACCATCTGAATCAAATTGACTTCATTTATTTTTAACAAAGCTTTTTCAGTCACCTAGGTTATTCAGTGTCGAATACTAAGGTAAAGGTAAAAGTTAAATTGTTCCTGTGCGTAATTAGGCACCGCGCCATGAAGGGGTATGGGAAGTGGCGGTATAGCTCCACCATTCTTGATATCGACGCTAGATTGCGTTGCGTAGAATGAAGATACATTTCGGTATCTGCCTGCAGAAAATTAGAAAGAAAAATATCGAATCAGATGTCTCAGACTGTCTGAGCTCCGAGTCTGAACTTGGACCGGAACCTGCAGAACACGAGGCAGTAGTGGTAACCACTATGCCGCGACGGTAGATCTGTTCGAAGAGAAATAGAAACAGTTCTGTAGGAGGTTATACTATACAGAGCTTTGTAGTTGCTCAGGCCTGGTGTCGTTATAATTTTGCAAGAGCAGAAATGTATCTTTGTGTCGCCCACATAACGGGGGTCCGCTACCAGCATAGCACCGATGTGGACACAAGGTGAGGTCTAACGGGGTCCGATATTTGCATTCAAATTAGCGTGACCTGGACATCAGCTGAACTGATGTGTGCAACTCGTACTTCAAAGTGGATAATGACCACCGCAGCAAGCTAAATGAATGTCCGATAGATAAGGCAAATCCCTCAACCCCTAACCAATGCGTGTTACCCTCCCCTATGTGCGGGACATGTAATTTTACCGAACACACACCTACTTCATCCCTCAATAAAAACGTACAATACTAAAATATTGGATTAATATACTGGAGCAATTAAAAATGTCTCTCTTTTTATGGAGAAGGTAGAGCTATTGCAGCTCCGAGTGTCGCCTGTTATTTGCGTTGTTGTTATGTTATATAAACCAACACATTATACAGTAAAATTATTATATTTCTGGTGACTCGTCTAGCTTTAACTTTTATTGCCGCTTGGGGTATGAGCTCACTCTTACTTCTGCATGACGTACATTTTTTTAATTAAATTAAGTTTCAGCTTCGTGTTATGTGGAACATAATGCTGGGCTTCCGACAAGATTGAAGTCTTACGGATTGACGCATGCGCACTTTCCTGTTTCGTATTACTCATTGACCTCGATGTTCGCTTGTTATATATGTTCATCTGTTGCTAAAAGGAGTCAGAATATTATGTTAAATATTCATGGTTTAAAAAAGTAATTCAAGTAAAAGTTATACGATGGCTATTCGGAAAGTGAATTCAGGTGAGCTGTTAAAAAAAATCAATGAGAAAAATAAATTACACGTATTATATCCGAAAAGTCGTACATAATTAAGATGCTATTGAACGTGGACACACACATCCAACGATACAACGCACGCAGCCACAAGAGTAGAACACATCATAAGATACAATATACACACAACATTAGAAATATAAGAAGAACGACTCATATGTGGATGATCAATAACACACATAAATTTAAAATATGACGTATGAGATAATAGGTTTTAACAAGTTTTAAACACATAAACTTTATTATTATATAAGGACGTATACAAATGTCATATTATTTGTAAATGGACATACAAAGGCAAGCAGTGAAATGGTTGACGGATCCGATACACCTGAAGATGGCAGCATACTGCCGAAACGTGTAGTGTAAAAGTGGTACATGGGATTGTATGCACTTGAAGACTGTTAATACATACACATTATGAATACGTTACTGGCTTATCAGCCTGGCATGTGATGATGACAGTTGTATTGCCTATTGCCTGCAATATTAACGGTATGCTAGTAGTCAGGTAAAAGATCACCCTGCGAGAGTTACACACGTTACAACAACGCAGTTCAGTTTTCTTGTACAGGATCATGGTCCCTACAGCAGTTACGAATGTAAAATCATATTCAAACATTCATTAACTTCAGGATGAGTTCAGTAAATAGTATAGTATAGATAGTATAGTCTCGTTATGCTGAGATGAATATAATATCTTATTGGATTTTGTGCAATACTGCAATATCGAAAAGTAATTAATTAATGGGCACGTATATTCTACTGAATATAGGTCCTGCTTGTTTTTTCTTCGAAAAGCCCTTAATAAGGAGTTGTAATTCTATGCAAAGTAGTGTTATATTGAACTTAATTCATTCTTGAGTAATCTGTCAGACGACAGGTCCACAGTCTCTTCCAAAACAGTTCCTCCACTTGATGCGATCTAGAGCTTTCTCCTTCAAATGAGAATACCCTCTTCTGTCTCCAAGGTCATCCAGGATCTTCTTACTCTTCTTCCTCGTCTTCTGGTCACTTCTATCCTCCCCTCTCTCTTTCCATCAATAACTTCTTTTAGAAGGCAGTTACTGCGTAAGATATGACCAACCAATTGAACTTATACGAATGCAAATTGAATTTATGCGATAAATGTTATTGCAGATAGCGGATATTAAATCTCGTTAAAAGCAGTATTTTCATAGATATTCGGGCTGACGGACAGCGAACTGTGGTTTCTCCTTGTGCAGAAAAGGCATATGATAACACTGTGCACCTTTGTGACAGCCCCTGACAGGAGCACAGTATCCGTACGCGTATGGCCAACAGATGGGGTACTGGTACCCTCAGAGCTACCCTGCCACAGCAGCAACGGCAGCTGCAGCGCAGATGCAGGGCCAGTTCCTGCAGGGGATGCAGGGGTACACGTATGGACAATTCGGCTACCAGCAGGGATATATGGGGTGAGTACTGCCTTCACACTCAGCTTTTACGAGTGTTAAGTAGTGGCTTCCTTTCTAACTTCACATCCCTCGTTACTGTTCGTATTCATTTCTTTTGAGCCAGATTTATGCTACTATAGGCGTACTGTAGAATCATGACTTATGTTAACTTTTATTTCTACAAACTTAATTTACATTGAAAAGTTTTCAAATATAAGTTCTAGGTCTTGATAATAACTGTATTCTATATAGCGTATACGTAATTTACCAATTTCCTTTATGGTGAACTATTTCTTCATAAATATTACACGTTTCGATTTGTGCATAACCAATAACATATTTGCTTGTATGGTTCATAATTAAATATGACCTACAGTTTTTAGTGTATCCTCCTAGTACCAATGCTATCGAAGTGTGTTTATTTTTCTTACAAGCAATATTTGTTAAAATCATAGTTAATTTTCAGGTTACTTAAACGTAAAATTTTATTGGACATGTTAATAAGTATAAACCTTTCACTGAATACCATGCACTTAGGAATTCGTTTTTTAGCTAAAGAGGGCAGACAGACAGACAGACGTAACCCTCACATTATAGCTTTGTCTCATACATTTCTTTCAAAAAATACTTATATAGTAATAATGAAAGTTGTGATCGCAACTATTTTCAATTTAAGATGGGAAAGTAAATGAGTTTATGTTGGGACATTCATAACTATATATTAAGTAACATTCATACGATTTGAATTTTTCACCCTGCATTCATAGAAAACCAAGAAAAATCTTACGGAAAAAACAATGTAGTGCCACGCCGATTTTAATAAATCATACTTTTACACGAGAGACTCCATAACTTAAAAGCTCTCAAGGCCCCAACTTTTGAGGAACAACGATTAACTCATCTGCCCCACATCTGGGGGCTGCAGTTCGAATCCTGGCCCGAAGATCGAATATTCTAGCTTACTTCTCCCCCAGTTTTCTATAGAATCTTCAGTTTAATATCGAATTGTCAAAATATTGTCTTCAAATTGACCACGACCACTTAATTCGAAATTCTTATGTGTGTACTTTGTTTCTGATTTCAATCATTCTAATTAATGAATGCAATAATAATAATCAGTATCAATGTGGATTACGTAAAATTGTCCTTGTGTTTTATCAAGGACAGTTTGATTCCATCTGCTTTGTTCTAAGTCATTCTTTTTTGTTTCATTTTGTTTCACTTTTCTACTGGTTATGGTTCTGTATAGCGGTTACATAACCAACAGACGTTTTGTTACTTTTGTTTCTGCAGTTTCTTCGTCTCCCTTCATTGTGCTGTCTGGAGTTCCTCAATGTTCTGTTCAGGGAAACATGTTCAGTATATACGTTAATAACTTATCCAGTAAAATTAAATATGTTGTTTCTATGACGACGTAAACATTATATGACATATTTCCTTTATTGATGACTGCCTTATTTTGCAGTCAGATATGAAATCTGTGCTTAATTGACGCCCCACTAACCAGACGAAATTAATGTTGGTAAAACAAAAGTTATCTCATTCTCCAGAAAAAACACATTGTTCTCACTTTTAATTATTGTCTTTATATCTGATATTTTGCATACAAATCTTATTAAAATAATTGGTGTTTTTCTTTACTCTACACTTGATTTCCACCAGCATATTTGTTATTTATTTTATCATGTTATAAAGTTATTAGCTCTAACATGGACAATTTCTTCAGTAGATACTTATGCTTTACATCAGTCTAGTCAGAATGAAAATTGAATACGCTGCTATTTTCAACACTGGCCCCAACGAACTGCAACAGATTCTGTATATATCGTAATTAATGCAGTCATGTTTGTGTTCTGAATAACTTAAAATTACGCCACACTTTAGTCCTTAAGACTGGTTATTTTGAGGCATTTTTATAAGGAATGTTTAGATCGGGTTTATTAGTAGTCCTTCACATTTAGAGGCTGTCGGTATCAAGTTCCAGCCAGAAACATGAAGAGATCTGAAGTAGTTTTATACTTTGTTTTCACGAAACAAATGTAGTTCTTTTCTCTGCTCCTTAGCAGCAAGTGAAATATAAATTTTCTTAAACAAAATGAACTCCGTGGCTCGGGTCCACAAACGAACTCTGCCGACCGAGCGACCGCCGCTTATCGACGAATCTAGTACAAACTTTAGATGTTAGAGGGTGTCGCGTGGTCAGCGCAACGGATCCCCACGGCAGTTAATTTCGGTTTTCTAGACCGGAGCCGCCTTTTCCTTGAAATGACTCCTCAGTTATCCTCACGAGGCGGAGTGGACCCCGCTCCAGACCCACTACTTCTCAGATAATCTGGTAGCGCCGGTAATTGAACCCAGACCTCTGGATCTGTAGGCAGGAACTCTGACCGATATACCATAGGGACGGTCAATCGTTTGTTTAATATCAGTCTTATGAATGCTTTGGCTAATGGATAGGTTCATAGTTTCTTACATTCCGTGTAATCATAAATTTATACTCGCACTTGTCCTGCCATCTACTATGCAACAGAGTATCTAATTTGTACGCGGTATTTTTCCTGAATTTCCGTTGTTCTCCTTAATATTTTATTTGATTTTGCTAACTCTGTAATTGGCTCCTTTAGCTGCTGAGTTGGGTAAATTCCTTTAGAAATGTTTCATTGTGCCCTTCCCTCACCTTGTCCCTTAGTATTTATCTTGATGAACTATTTTTGTTCATGGTCTACATCAGCAGAATGGGGATGCAACTTCCGGCGGCTTGGCAGGGGATGCCCGGCCAGCCTCAGATTCCGGCCGCCGCCCAGCAGATGGCAGCAGCGGCGCAAGGGGCAGCTATGCAGCAACCTGGAGGAATGATGGCCTATCCAATGCAACAGTTTCAGGTATTGTTCTAATTTACTGTGCCCGGATTTTATTCTCCTTATAACCAGTAGAATTTGTTGACTGATCTTTATTTTTTTAATAAAAATTCTGGGCTGAGTATGTAACTTAGCAAACTGTTTATTAATTATTTTTGCTTTTTTTATTCTTGGGTGCATTTTATCTTAACAGGAAAGTCCTTTAGGATCCAGCATGTCTTGTAAGTCAGTAATACTTAAGGGAGAGCTCTTCTATTTTAGGCAGGCTGTATTGATGTTAGTGGTTAGATACTAGTACTTGCTTATATGTTCACTTTTCATTATTGCCGTGTGAAAGGAAACGTTCAACAGTGTAATAATTAATTATTGCAAAAGAACCTATAGTTAAAAATAAAGTTACAGGAACATTACCATCTGTATTTTTGAACAGAAAATAAATTACAAGAAATATAATTTAGAAATATCCCGAAAACGACTGAAGGAATATTAATGTTAGAAAAAAAATATTAAACGACAGAAAATATATATGTGCATGTATGAACTTGCATCAACAAATATAAACTAATCGAGTAAATTACTTAAAAAGCTGAATTATTCCATATTATTTTATTATTATATCATGGGCTGATCTTCGTCTGCCTCTGCGCAATTAGAAAGTTAGATGAACTTCTGTAATTTTTATCTCTCATTAATACTGACGAATACAATATCTATATTTCAGTATTATTTAATAAAATAGGGACCAGGCAGTAAATTGGCCTATGCAGTATGTTTCTTTTCAACAATTAATTTATTGAGAATATTAATTTCTGCACAGTTAAGAAAACTTCCACATGCCCTACGTTTCGACATATTCCATAATTAATTTCGTAGTTCAGAAATGTGTAGTGTGATACGGCTAGTACCTAAATATGCCAATTTTAAGATATAAAATATCTAAATTAATTGTGCTACGTTCTATGGGAGGGTTTTCAGATGAAATTCCTGTTGTTATTTACCAACCCACAGTTGCACTTAACACTTCACAGTTTGTACACAACATTTTATCATTACTGGACTGCATAATTTTGCCACCAGTAGGTCAACATCAGGTCATACTTACATGACTTCATCATGGCCGCGCCATAGCTCAAGCGGTTAGTCGCTGGCTTCCCACCGCGGCGCCCCGTGTTCAATCCCGAGTCTGGTCAAGCAGGATTTGTGGTGGCAAAGTGGCGCTGGGACAAGTTTCCTCCAAGTATTTCGGTTTCCCCTACCAATCTTCATTCCACCAGTTTCTCCACAATCAACCTCATCTATCATCTGGGGCTGGTACAATAGGCCAGAAGTGGCCGCAGTACAAGGGACTTAGTCCCACCCCACTAGCAATAAAAAAACCATATATAACTTCATACGTATATGTAAATTGACGTTAGCCCGTAGGTTTGTTTTATGAAATAACAGAACTTTTAAGTTTAACTTTTCTTAAATATTAATATAATAGCGATACTGTAATTTATGTATGGTCTGATGTTGAACTGTTAAACGTCAAAACGTGTAGCTGAGTAGTGACAAGACATTGTGTGCAATCCTTAAAGCATTTCTTACAAGGGTTAGGTGTGTGGATCGATACAACACAACATCACACACAGATGTAGTGTTTCATAGTTCGCAGCTTCTGAGAAAGAAAATCCCTTGGTAATACTTTCATAAAGACAGGATGGCTCCAAGGAACCTTTATATACGTTTCCAGTCTTCTTTTAATCTCATCGTACAAATACAGGCGGTTAAAGTAACGAAATCAAGTCATCACTGAAGAGGGAACAGGCGGCGTACGAGCCTGTACACTCATGTCAAACAATGCTAAAATCCCCCCCTAACCGTCCACCCGCTAAACAGTAGAACAAGCGGACAAATTGTTTGAAAGGAAAGTGAATTTGTATCTACATTTTACCTCAATACAGCTGATCCACTGAGAATGAATTTAAACACTGGGTGTTTATTTCATGTGGTGATATATTGCGCAGGGTCGCCATGGTGAGTTAGGTACAGGGGAATGCGACACTTTTAGCTTGAAAACTTGACACATGGACCTGCTTATCATTGGAAAATTAATAATGTGTAACATAAAATCCCCCCGCTAAGTCAGTTTCATCCCTTTCTTCAGCCAGTCTGGATAGTAGGAGACATTATAAGGTTTAGTTATATATTGCACAAAGCAGTATGTTTTATGGTTACCAGATTGCACGGCGGCGATAAACAGTAGACGCGTGATATTACTTCTTTCACTATTCAGAACTTAAATTTAATAGAAGCGAAAATAATAAAATATTTGTTTCCTACGATAAATTAACTTAAAAATGAAAGTAGAAGATTAATCTAAAGTACAATTAGTTTAAAACATTAAATAGACATTTCATGTAATAAATAAAGCAATGTTATTATTCTATTAAATCTGCTGATTATTTTAAGAAAATTCCAGGCTCAGAATGAATAATTTAGCGAGTTATTAATCAATCCAATCGAATCCTATACCTTCTTCATCTAACACTACCGGATTTCTGTAGCTTATCTCATATTTGAATGTGTGCTGACATGGGTGCGACAACAATATGCTCACGACACTAGATGCTGGGACACACCGGTGGGCCTGGTCTTAGACGTGTAGTTCCAGCAGTAGTAGTTTAAGTGAGAATAGAAATGCTCGTTAGTCTCGGACTAGTTTAATTGTTCGAAAGCAAAATTGAATATGTCGAGAATTGTGAGACAATTAACCATGTTCAGACTCGGTATTGATGAGGTTATGTTATGGATAGCAGAGCTTCCAACACGTGTTTAGACGGCACACAGAAGAGGAATGCAGTCAGTTATGTACCACCGGCCCCTCTTTTCACATTTATTTGCCGGCTCAGTAGAACATCAACTCCTGTCACGCCAACAACACAGGCAAGGGGAAACTGCACATTCGAAGCTAGTCCACCATTTCAGTCGCAGTGACACTTTCCACTCTTAATATTCACTCATTCATTCATCTGTAATCTGTCAAGACGACAGGTCCACAGTCTCTTCCAAAACTGTTCCTCCACTTGATGCGATCTAGAGCTTTCTCCTTCAAATGAAAATATCCTCTTCTGTCCCCAAGGTCATCCAGCATCTTCTTACGTCTTCTTCCTTGTCTTCTGGTCACTTCTATCCGCCCCTCTATCTTTCCTTCAATAACTTCTTTTATAAGGCAGTTACCGCGTAAGATATGACCAATCCAATTAGCCTTCCGTTTTCTTATTTCATGTAGGATATTCCTCTGCTCACTGACTCTAAATAACACTTCTTCATTTCTCACATAATCGGTCCAACTGATCTTCTCCATCCTTATTAATTGACAGTGAAACTTTACAAAATTCTGCTCTCAAGTTAACGCCTAATGTGTCGTTTTAAAATTATTGTCAAAATTTAATGTTCCAAAGAAAAGCCCTGATTAATTTAGATAAATATGAGGAGTGCAGCCGAATTACGTCCGACTCGGTTGAGTTGAAGACAGTTGTCTTGCGGGAACGTCTCTTCATCCCCCAGGACGATCCGAATTGACGATGTCTCCTTTTCAGGCAAGAATTCGCCTCAATTTTCATTTTCCAGGCGGCAAAACTCGGACCTCACACATGGAAGCAGTTTTCTTATAGTAGAGTAGGTTTAGCTATACCTTCTGACGGTAAATATGACAACTATACATGTCAAAAGACAAATTCATGCCTCGTGTGTCGCCATTGTCCCACTTGAGATCACTCGAACTGGTTGTCCTGTCTTCAAAAACTAGGAACCTGCCATAACTCGCCAATAAATCAGTCAGCCCTTAAGAAATTACTAAACAGGACAATGATGTCCACGGAAAAAAATGTAACAGGTTTGGATTGTCACAGTAGTAAAGATGTGGAAAACAAATCAGTGAAGTGCATATCAGGAGAACCCAACACGAGAACTGGGCCGCAAATTTATGTTTATTGGCGCTATGACGCGAGACACTGCTCATAAAAGGCTGGAAAAAAAAAAAGATGCTGAAGTCTGTGTTACATTCGTTTTTATACTGATGAAGGTTGCTCGTACTTCGCCTTTCAGTTAAACATCCGACCCCTTACTGTACAGTCTGACTTATTGTCAGCATCGGTAAGTAAACCATAAAGACAAAATAAAATATATATCGCCATTAGCAAGTTAACACGACTGTCTTACTGTTTGTCAGTTTACATTTCGTTGATAATTACCCTCAGATATCATGAACACAGTAACTAAAATACACTCACGACATGGCAGCTGTGTGCGTATGACTGAGTGCACTGCTCCACCGCAAAATTATTTTGGACTTTGAATACCTATTATTTTTGTGCAGGTGCTTAGAAGAACATGTAAGTCCAACAGGTACTAAATCGTGATTATAAGAAATATGTTCCCAACTCGTGGAGAAAAGAGAAACACACATGCGCCCATTAACACCAACATGCACACTCGTATAACACGTTCCCATAAACTCTAAAATTTCGAAAACATATTTTATATATACTCGTATACTCAATATTCCCTTACTCCATTCCACCCATAAAACCCCTTATACATAATAGGATAATTTATACAAAAATAACAATAATTTTAAATAGCTTTACTAATTTTAGACAAGTATTTCAATGTATTTAAACACTAATCCTACGTAAAAACTCTTAGATAACAGGCAATTAGCAGTGGATCCATTGCAACACGCAGTCCAGTAATGAACTTGGATTCACTTTGTTGTTTTTAAACGCCTGATGATGGTCGTAAATGACCGAAGCGTCTAGCAAAAATAACATTTTACTAAACTAACTGATTTTATCAACAATTTGCATAGATCAGTTACTTAGGAAAATTGTAGATTGTCGTATCGATGGACACATTTAAGTAGTGAGCTCAATTTCGTCTTATAGTTCGACAGACAACAAAGTACGCGCTGTCACAACCCAAACGTTCGTAATCACGGCCAGGCAACCTCAAATCTCATACCATGAAACCTGCATTCGAAA